GGTTGAAATTGGTGCAGTGGTTGCAGAGAAGAAGCTGAAAATGTTCAAAAGTTTACGACCGATTGACGACGAACGACGAACGACGTACGACGAACGACGGACGACGACGGACGAAAACAGATAGCAATAGGTCACCTGAGTGACTCAGGTGACCTAAAAAATATACATTTATCTAGCTAAGCTTGATCTTTAAATTGAAATCACTCCATGGCAGACTTTCTGATCTGTGAGGCGGTCAGCCAGATTCAATCGCCGGTGGCCAGATAGCTCAGTCAATAGAGCACCTGACCGGTTGAATTGAATGAAGATTTTTAACAGTATTGTACTGATATAATAAATTCAAGATGTAATAGTATTGTGTTAATGCAAGGTTTAATGATGTGATCAAAGTTTTTTGGTACTTAACAAGATTTTAACAACATACCAGTGAAGAGTATTGTGTTGCTGGAGGATTTGCCCCAGAGCTCCATAAAGTGTACAACATCTCCCATTCTCAGTGATGGGTGACCAGCAAATACAATGCATGGAGACTTAAAATCATTCTGTAGTCCATCTGTTAAACACAAATAAACAACACAGATACAAAAAGTTAAAAAGATCAGTTTAGTAAATATTTTTAAGATACTGAACATTTGTGGAAGACATACACAAGCTGTGTTAAATCACATTTTACTTGCAGAATTTTTATTATTATAAAATTAAATACATGTACATAAAGAAAGATAACTTTTTATTTATATGTCATGTTCAACAGTTTCTGTATTACTTCTTATTTATTGTTTTACATTTATATAGATTTTATAGAGAAATGCATTAACCCTTTTCAGTAAACATCTGTACATGCACGTACACTCTACATAAATAAACAATCAATGTTCTTTCTTCATTTGATGACATACCGTGTATATTTGTATAATGTCTAAGTCTTCCTATTGATACAAGCTGAAAGTAAACAATGTTTTTTGATTCACATGCAATTCAAAATACAAAACTTTTCATGCATGTATTTTAAAGCAATATCAGCTGCATTTTTGAGAAAATAATTTTGCTGTTAAAAAGTGTAATTATGATGAATTTGTATGTAAATTAAACAATTATGATTAATAAAACCAAAATGAAAATTTTAATTGTTTCAGAAGAAATATTTATGTACAATCGAATATAAAGCATTATATAAGAAATCAATAATGTAAAGGATGACAATAATGTCATTTTGCTTTAATTAAAGCTTATAAAAAGTTCTTCCATGGCAAATATGAACAACAGAATTTTATAAATGTTCTATTTTTCAGTCATTGAAATAGTTGAATGATTACAAAATTTCAACAAAATTTTCTTATGTCAAACTTGCAGCTCATATTGCTTTAAATACAGTTACATACATGTATCTGTCTGCCTGTATCAATTAAACTACATATATCTAACAAACTTCAGTTTTATAGTTATAAAAAATAAAATAAATTCTATGAAATCCCTTACCTCTGCATGAGGAAATGGGGGCTCAGGAAGATAGACTTTGTTTTGTTTGGATGTTGATAACCTAGTAAAGATCATCATCAATGTGAAAGTTCAACAATATTACATGTGCAACTAGAATATCATTAACAGGAACATTTCTACTAGATCCTTTGTCAAGTCAACACTATAAAAATGCATCTTCACATACATGTATGTTAATTTAAACATCTACAGCAAAAAGATTTCTTTCTAAATTATTTTGCAAGCTAAATTTAAAAAAATGTGTAAAACAAAATTTCCATGCAACACACTGACTTATTTGTTCATACAAAATCCCAGTTTATCTATACTGTAAGCTACTAAAAATTTTATCTTTTAAATATCTGTAAACTATTAATATATGATAAATAAGCAAACTCATTTTTTTTTAACTGATATACCATTCTGCGTAGATATTGGAGTATGCTAATGAACTGTCTGACACAGGAGACAGGAAGTACAGAGGAATTGTGGTTAATCCACAGCTATCAAGATGGCCGCTTAAACATTCAAAAAGGTCAAAGGTCATTCCTGATGGGTAACAAGGCACAAGGACATTACCCCCATTCTTTATTGTCACCACTGAAATAAAAAGATCTAACTGCAAATTCAAAATCTTATTTTGAAATCTTGACTCTGATGCCTGTAGTGTGGATTTTTGCTTACCTGTGTTGACACAGAATTCACCAATCATCTGATCAGGGTTATACCCTGGGGTTTTTGTCATAGAACTAAGAATAATCAGGTCACTCTGTCTTAATGGGTCTGTGTCCATGGGCTGGAAAAGAGAGAAGCAAAAGGTTGTAGTGTTCTCTTAACTAAACAGAGTCACAGTTATTGATACATGCTGTAACCTGTCCAATATTAGTGCACTGCGAAATGTTTTGTTTTCATATATTCATATAAAGCACATTCAGAGAGCTCTTATTCAAATCTATGCTTACTTGTTTAAAAATCAATTTATGCCAAATATCATACATGACAAATTGAATACATTTACAGTAACTTATTATTCTCATCACAGTAGCATGGATTATACTTACTTTGGGGTGGGTGGTCAAAGTTGATGTTCCAGAAATGTAACAGATCTACAGAGATAAAAAGATTTTTGAAATGTACATGTACATATACTGCATATTATTCAAAAATTTGATATACTAGTATGTAATGCTAGCTTTTTGTGAACACTTGACAATGCTGATAAGCCACTTTCTGTTAGTAACAGTCAAACACAGTTATCTCAAATTCAATGGGACTGTGAAAAATCTGACCAATCAAAAGATACCAAATATAAAGGGTAAATAAAATACATCAAAATATAATTTGCAACAACTCCCAAATATGTACCGGGTATGACAAATCCATCGAATTTGAGATACAGTTTGAGATACTGAAGTTTGCCTGTATGTAGTTAATTCACTCTCAATGCTTTAGGCTTTCCTTTTGTTTGGCAATTCATAGTTTATTTATGTTCTGATAAGTAAGGTTTTGGTAACCAATGGTTACACAGAGTTGTTCAATTACAACATGAAATGCTACAATTCACCTTTTGGTATGGGGACTAGATATACCTTTTGGTATGGGGACTAGATATACCTTTTGGTATGGGGACTAGATTTACCTTTTGGTATGGGGACTAGATTTACCTTTTGGTACGGGGACTAGATTTACCTTTTGGTATGGGGACTTGATTTACCTTTTGGTACGGAGACTTGATTGTCCAGTTACAACTGCCAATGCTGTACCCAGAACTACAGGCTGTGATAGTCAAAGCTCCAAATATGTTCTGCAAAAAAAAACACCACTTACAAATTTTATCACTGATCTGAATTTTGAACTATTTAATCTGGCTTTTAAGAAATATTATACAATTATTGCTGTTTTTTGTCCCCCGCTTGAAAAGTGGGGGATATTAATTTGGGTTTGTCCGTCCGTCCGTCTTTCTGTCTGTCTGTAACGCTTTCGTTTCCACACGATATCTCAAGAACCCTTTGAGCTTTTGCAATGAAATTTAGCATAGCAACTCCCTATGGAATAAAAAAGACCCCTATAGATTTTGAGGTCAAAAGGTCAAAGGTCAAGGTCATAAATAAGCAAATTCTGTCTGTTATAACACTTTTCCACACGATATCTCTAGAACCATTTGAGCTATCGCAATGAAATTTTACATAACAACTCCCTGTGGCCTTATGAAGACCCCTATTGATTTTGAGGTCAAAATCAAAGTTCAAGGTCGCAAATTTATAAATTCTGTCAGTGTGTAACACTATCATTTCCGGGTGATATTTCAAGAAGATTTTGAGCTTATGCAATATAATTTTATACCAAAACTCCCTAGGACCTCTCTCGCCCCTCTCAAAGTGCCCCGCCCCGTTTGTTTTATTAGTATTTATAGTATTACATGTCGCTATTTTTAGCACAGGGGCATGAGGAGAGATATTGCGTATAAAACAGGTTCTCCGCGGACTTTATGTTCTTATTACATCTATTAGAACGGTTTAATAAAGGCTAAATAAATCAAACACCATGGATTGTGAAAAATTTTGAGAATACCGAACATAAATATATACATGTATGTGACTTCACTTCTGCATACACTTGCCTCGACAAATAGCGATTCCTTGGTCTAGTGGTATGTCTCTCGCTTCCAAAGTGAGAGGTCCCGGGATCGAATCTTGGTCGATCCTTTTTTTTTTTTTGAAATACTTTTCTTTTTTTTTTTTTACCAAATGATATAGTATTCAGCATGTGAAATGAAAAAATTATGAGGTTATAAATTCATCATTACAGTGTGATAAACATTCAATCTTCCATACACATAATAAAGAATAAGCAATCAAATCTTTATATGCATATTGACATACATGTATTTTATTTGCTTCAGTATACATGTATACTTTTAATAATTCTACAAATTCAGTCAGGGGGATCCGACTTTTTCCCTAAGCAGGGGACACGAATTCTCTGAATTAGCTTGTTGAGATTAATACAATGATTTAGCCACCTGGGGAGTACAATATTCACTGAGCCCGGAGGGCGGGGTGAATATTGTACTTTGAAGGTGGCTAAATCATCATATTGACTGAAAAAAAATTGCTGTTGTATTAATTTAAAATGTTTAAAATCTACTTAAGTTGCCAGGAATGAAAAAAAAAATGTCAGGCTCTTTTCTGTGATAGATTTTGAAAGGAAGTAGGATTATCAGTGAGAACTGACAGCTTAAAAAGTAAAAATGACTTGTTTGTTTAGAAAAGGTATCAGAGGGAGGGGTGTCCTGGCACCCCCACTTACCACCCCACCCCAAATTATATATTCACCGAATGTTATGTTTACATGAGTAAAAGTAGGTAGCAGGTGTAATAGCTTACCAAACCTATTTGTATCAATTTGGAATTTCCCCGATCTATTTTTTAGATCATAGTGGAGAAAATGAATCCTTATATTCACCTGGAATGTCATGTGCAGGTAAATATAACATAGTTTTTTTCTACATAGTTGGATCTCAGTGAATCAGAATGAAAGGAATTATTCAATCATATAATAATTTCCATTATTTCTTATATCAGTTGTGTCACTATAAATTATAACATATGGCTCAATTTATTTATTGAGTGACTTACCCTTTTTTCATTGTACCCTACTGTCTGTACTGTTGACAGACAGGTCTGTACATTATGTCTGGTGTAACATTGAGTGACTCACCCTTTTCTCATTGTACCCCACAGTCTGTACTTTGGACAGACAGGTCTGTATATCGTGTCTGGTGTAGCACTCCCGCCATGCTGTGGGTCGTATTGCCTCCCTGAGAGGGGCGGGGAGAGAGGACAGAATTCCCTCAGATTTCCACTTTGAACACTTCTTATTTTGGGGATTCCTTTCTACATAGGTGACCAGTTCCTCCATATACTGCCTGAAAATAGGTGTAAAGAAAAGCCTGTTAGAGTGTATGATTTGCAAAACAGTACGACACGACACACAATCTTGATTTCCCACATTGAAAAACTATTAGTATTTCACACTTTTCATTTTCAATTCAGTTTGATTTAATAGTTTTTCTATTAAGATTCGACAGACTAATCAAAATTCCTATTTACAATTATTTTACTAAGGAACATTTTTTGTGCTTCCAAGAAAATTTTGAAAATGTATTTTTGTAAAAATAAAGGTGTATAATTACGTATTTCTTTTATCCATTTTTAACTAGCTGTTATTTCATACATTTTACACGGTAGTCTTATTGATGATTCAAACAACATAGTTTGAATAATTATCATTATACAGCTATCGTTTTGTTGATTTTGATCAACACCTAAACATTAACTGGCTTATTCTTATAACCCATCAATACCTTTTCTGATAACAGAAAACATTAATACCACATGTATCTAATAAGAAATGACTCAATACTACCTTCCTATTTGTAGAGTGGGTTCTGTACAATAAATCGTTCCTTTGAATCCTGAATATTCTGTTATATATGGTAATGCCAACATTGTATTATGATTGGACAAAAGAATAGCATCCACTTCTGAAAGGGTCGTCATACCCAGCTGTAAAATCGAGTAAAATACGCATCACTGAAAGTTTACACTTAACTCACATCAGATTTATTAATATGTCATAACAGGCTGTAAAACCATGTAAACATCCATCACTGAGATTTTACACTTAAAAGTGGATAAAACAACAAATGAGAATTAAAATTAATTTGAAATTTCACATTAATCTTCTCTTTTCTATAGCTAATAATATGTACCACAGTGTTAAAATTAATTTTCCCCCAGCTGTGTCTTACCTCTGGGGAGCAGAATTCCAGTGACCCATCTACAAATACAGACCCTGCCACTTCTCGAAGTTCATCTCCCTGGTAAAAAAAAATCATTAGATCCTCAATCAGTTGTAAATCTATTTTTTTATGTTATCACTCTAAAGAATTATTTATTAGTCTTTGTTATTTCATTTAAGATTTTTTAATATGGTGATTATTTAATATTTATATTACGGATACCAATTTCTCCTCTCAAGCACCTGCTAAAAATATTGATAACGATGAAAGTATTGCTCTTCATGAACAACCTACCATACTACACTGTATTTATTTTTGGAAGAATGAAAGTTTCTTGGCAGAGTGGGTACAAAAAGTCAGAGCTGGATTCAAGGATGAATTCAAGAATGGATTAAAAAAAATAAATAAAACTTGATGATATATAAATCATCAAGTCTTTTGCAAATTTAAAGGATAACACAGTGTTTTCATTTTTCTTAGGAACCAAGAATTTAATGGAAAAAAATTCTGTCAAATAAAAAATTAACACTGGAATTTAACACCTTCAATTTATTTAAAAATAATATTGTATACTTTGTGTGTAGAGATGAATTAAAAGCCTCTTCTTACTAAACAAAGGTATGCTTAAACTATAATAAAAAAAAAAAAACAAACAAAACATGTAAATAGATTAAAAAGGTGAAAAATAATGCTCACCAATATTTTGTCTTTTTCTTTGTCACTGTGAATCCATTTTTTATAAGTATTATCAGATCTGGAAAAGACTTTCTTATTTACTATTTGTAATTCATAAATTAAATACAAAATAACCCTCTTTATATCGTCACTGGGTCATTGTTAATTGTATGTGTTGCAGTCATAACAGAATAAGATATACATTTAAATGTGTTTCCAACTCACTGTAAAAGGAGCCAAAAGTGCAGGGCTGATGCATAGTAAAAGTTGTCAGCCCTGCCAAAGATCTAGCAACTAGCTTGAGAAATAAATTTGTTTTTAACAATTTTGTGACTGGAAACAAGTTACCATAACTTTGATCCCAAATCGGAAGAATAACAAATTCTTATTCTTGGCTTCTTAAACTTTTCTACTGATACTATTTATTGATATGAAAGTTTTTTATCAAATTTGTGATTTCAACATGTCCAAACAGGCATCAATACATGCATCTTGGGCAATTGTGTGCACAATTATTTCAAACATTGGCAAATATAAAATGTGTTCCCCACTTAACTCTGTAAATGATATCAAAATAGCGAGCGCAGCGAGTGTCGTGAAGTGACACTCGCAAAAGGAGCTCAATAGACTAACGTGTAAGAACAGAGGGAATTCAGAAAAAAATCTGTACATACGTCAGGCAAATTTGTCTGTGAAACATGCTCAGAATTCCTTTGCTACCCAATGTCCTTTGCACAGATAAATAAATAAATAATAACATAAAGCATAAAAGGCTATTCTTTGATGAAAAATGTTGCCATTTGTTCCCCCAGTAAAAACATACTTGTTTGGAGCCACAGATAATGGCAGAAACTTCAGAATCTGAGCAATGTCTAACCCACAGTCCAGCATCAAAGTGACTCCTTTGAAGTAAAGGACGAAGCATGGTTTGCTTGGATTTCCTGACAGACAAGACTACAATTAAAATAAATACACAGCAATGTAACATTTTGCAAAACCTTTGAATGGTTAACAAAATTAGATTGGCCATAACCAGATCAGCAGGTCTATTTTGCAGACTATTTTCCACTTTTATTTCCAGATATCAGTTGTCAGATAGATAAGGAGTAAAATCATGCAAAGCATCCCATGTGATATTATATTATTACCAATTTCATTTTATGGTGTTTTTTTTCGGTAAATCTTGCCTGTCTTCTTCACATGGGCGCAGCCATATTGAATTTGAATCACAATCTTTTGAATGTTTTATTTTTTATACCTATCCGCTTTTAGCTTTTAAGCGTATGAGTGATCCAGAATTTACTGTACTTTCATTTTCCGTTGAATGAAAACATGGGTACAACATCAGAGCCAAGTTGTACTCTTTACGTGCGGCATTTGCCATCTGAACTTAACAACAACGACAAAGAGGATTTACTTGTGCATTTTGGTGCTACTAAAGTGAAAGTTATGGGAATAAAAGGACCCATGGTAAACATATACGAGAATGACTAAAGAACATCGGAAAGACTGGGCGGTACTACGAATCACCGGAATGCCCCGTAATCACCGAAATGCCCCAAGAAATCACCGAAATGCCACCGAAATGCCCCTTATTTTGTTATATATAAACAAAAAATTAATAAATATTGATGACTTTAACTGTTCTAGAGCCTAGATACCGAATAAAAATGTCATAATTTTAACGTAAGTATTTTTATTTGAACAGAAGATTGTGCATGTTATAGTATCTAAGAAAGATAACTCTCACTGATTAAAGGCACGTGCCAAAATAGTCTTATTTTTAATTTTTCCCTTTTTTCTGTTTTAAATATATTCTAAATAATAAGTCATATTTTTCATATCAATTAGAATTTTGTTTGTAATATTATTTACATATATTCTTGATTTCTAAAAACGGAGTACACTAGTGTAATTTTACTGGAAAGTCCTATCTTTATATTAAGTTTTAAAGCAAATAGAAAGATCTTTTTTACGTTTAGTTTTAAAAAAATATTTACCATGTATGAATTTAATAAAATTTCATTGTTATCTGATATGAAAATGGGACTATTAATGCAACATTTTTTTAAAATCTTATTATTAAAAGTTTGATTGGATCTCTCACTTCTCATCAGTACAGTAACAGCTGCGTAAAATAGAATCAATGCTTGAATACTGTGATTGTCTTTTTGGAATTCCATTCAATTTGTATGAATGAATCCTAAAGAATATCTGATCCTCTGGTAACTAGCAAAGAAAAGAACTGCAATGTTTAAAGAAAATAACAAAATTTATCAAAATTATAGTTTTGTTTCGTTTTTGTGTTTATGAAATAATATTTTTTTTAAGTTTCATATTTTTTTTACTAGTATTAATGATTAAAAAATGAAGACAAAATTAATTTGATTTATTATGTTTAATTCGTCTGAAACAAATGGATATCTGAAATTATGTTTACTGTGTATACATGGACAGCTAATCTCACTGGGATTAATTAAGTAATTGATCTATTGACAGGTGTGTAGTATTATGTCATATTACATAATAGGTACATCACAATCAGTGATCGAAATTACGCACGTGCGCTATATACAAACATTGACATGGGATAATGAACTACATTTGATTCAATAGAAATAGTAAAATTTGACAATTTTACTATATATATATATATATTTTTTTTTTAAGTTGTTGAATGGGTTGAATACACCTACATCGTTTTATGAAACAATTGCTACTTTGGAAAGGTTTGCTAATTTACAAGAGAAATGTTCCGTACAATTAATGTTTGACCTGACTGACTATGTATCTAATCAAGTAACAGAATAAAAAAAATCATTAATAGAAATAGTAATATTTACATGGCCTTAACGAAGTACAAAGTTTAAAACCTTTTTTTTATTTTATGACTGCATTTGTCTTTTGAAATTCTTACATCGCGGTCGTAAATTATCACGGAAATTTGGTGTACCGGTACCCCCTCTCTCGTTTTGTTTGGTAAAACGTTAACTCTATGGTCTGTAAAAGTAAATATATACAATAAAAGATAAATTTACTCAATGAATAATGGCAGGTATATATATTTTAACGCTACGCCTATTTTCCCCCAGCAGGCGTCTGCAGACGAATAAATGTTACGACCTGGTTCACAATGCAAAATGTTGGAAGAAAAGGAAGAAAGAAGAAAGTCAATTTTTTTTCTTTTATCATAGTTATCATTTGTCATCTAATTTTCTCCGAGAAATATCATAAGACATTATTATTTCTTAGATTTTAAACATTGTAGACTTCACTTCTTAGGTCATCACCAAATACGAGTTATCGCCCTTTGAAGTACGATACGCTTCGAGCACAAAACATGAAAATAATTAATTTTACCGTCAATTATGCTTTACTGAAAAAAAAAAAAAGCATTAATTTTTATGAAAAACATCATGTAAAAACATATGTAAGGGCATTTCGGTGGTTTTGTTGGGCATTTCGGTGATTTTTAGGGGCATTTCGGTGATTACGGGGCATTCCGGTGATTCGTGTTACCCAAGACTGGGTATATGCTTCATTCATTTAGTATATAGATTCTTTTTATTTTTTCAGAAACATACTGCGTTTGCTACTTTTTCTGACCATGAATCTGCTAAAAAGGTATTTAGTAAACTTAACATTTAAAAAAATCAACAAGTATAGATTTTGAAGCAATCAGAGTCAGTTACTGCATGACTAAGTATCTTATATTGACAATTATGTATGTCCTTTGTCTGATTCTTGTAATTAACAGGCATTGAACCAGCTTCATCAGCTAGAAGTATGTGGATGTAAACTCATTGTAGAATTTGCCAAAAGTACACAGAGAAAGAATTTTCCTTCACTGCTCGAAAATAAGAGGTTATTCTTGCAGAGTTATAGTCAGTAAATATATCATAAAATGATCAATGCATCAGGAACTATTGTTTAAAATGTTAAAAATATCAGAAAATGCCATGTAAGATGTTTACAACATCAGTTTAAAAATTGCTTAATTAAACAGAAAACCACCAGTAGAAAGCAGTGACAATCTTCAGGAGACAAAAGATGATAAACCTGAGGAGTATCTGCCAACAGAAAATACTTTTAAAACCTGGAGGTAAATATGCTTTTCTACAAAACCTAATATAAGATGTAATATAAAATATGTTTGTTTAGTCACCAGACTGACCCAATATTTAATCGCCAACCCATTTTTTTTCGTAAAAATCCAGAGGTCACTGGCTGATCAGTTTAACTTTAACATGCATCTTAATTATACAAGCATTCAAAACTAAAATCCAAAGTAGAGACAGAAAATGGCAAGTTCAATATCTACATCAACTTGTTCATAGCAGTTTCATTATCATTGTGTGGTAGTTGTAAGGCATTTGATTAATCTAGCTTCTGTTGATATGGTGTGAAGGTCTATGTGTATTCTTTTGTTATAATCTTTATATTTGAGTCTATGTGTATTCTTTTGTTATAATCTTTATATTTGACCTTTGACTCTAATTTCAATAACTTTCTTAGTATTCCACTTTTCACTTTCAGCAAGTGAAAAAAAAAAATAAACTTAGGCCAACAATAAAAATTGATATTTTTTTTATGAACACCAACTGCAAAATAATCCGTACCCAATCATTTTTTCAGCACTTTTTTTCTAAGTTTCCAGAGAAATTGTTTTATTTTAAAAATAATTAAGTACCAGTTCACATAAAAATCAGACAAAGGGTGATATATGAGGGTTCTCAGAATTTGATGATTTTTCACTCATAGATTTATTTTGAAGTATGAACAATGTATGTAAAATGAAAAAAGTTTTGGGTCATGGTAACCATGGAAACCCTGCCAAAGAAATTTCCTTAGCAACCGGCGGATTTTTCAGTGTTGAAGGACAAAAAATCACCTATCTTTGAGGCTTAAAATAACATGTAAATTCCATGAGAATTATTCTTACTTATGGATGTAATAAAGATACACATTTATTGTGTTCTAATAATGTAATAAAAATATTTAGGTCTTAAGTCAGTTCTGTGGTAGACATTGGAAGGTACACATATTTTACAAGTTTTGCTGATTCAGCATTTTTCGTGATTTTGGCAATATTCAAGGCCAAATTTTAAAAATGGCCAGATTAATACAGTTGCATGTATCTCACATAAAAGAAGAGGTATTTCTCTTTTAGAATTTGAAGTCAAATCCATGGGCTCTTTTTAAAGTCGAACCTGTTGCCTAGCAACAAAAATGGGCTTTTTGATGCATAAAATGAGAAACAATGTAAAAAGTTTACGGAAAAATCAAATGAACGGTTATTTATGATAAACGAGATGCAAATTTTAAAATAGTATAATTAAATTCGGTCTCCCTATTGAGTATTGGAGTAATTATTGAGCATTGCATAATTCTTTATCTCCATAGCAACGACAGGTTCTCCATAGCAACAAGGCAAAGAAAGGTAATTTTGGCGTGTATTCGTGTAATCTTATTAAGACTTATTCAAAATAAGTCAGAAAAATCCGGTTGAGCAAAATTGACAAAGAAATGTTGGTTTTATTATTGTTATTTGTTTCTGGTGCTTAATCAACCCATATTGCAAGGATTCCGTGTACATGACAACCAAAGTTCCTATGTCTCCTGTAAAACAGATTTGACTTTGGGATTGTATTGTTTGTCATGGAATTGGATATTCAAGTAATATGCTGATAATTGCATGGTGATAGTTCGGAAAGAGTTTAAAATGTATCAAGTTATTGAATATTGTTCAATGACTTATTTCCATAGCAACAACACCATTCCCCTAGCAATGACACAAAGAAAGTTTGACGCATATACATGTTACTTGTAAATCTTTATCTAAATCACGTCATGAAGAAAAAAATGATGTTGAAATGTTTGTTTTTCAAAAGTATTTTTAAACTCATTTAATCCATAACAACTATTTCTAGCACATAGCAAACAATGTTACATTTTCAGTGTGGGATACTCTGTAGTCGTTATTCATAATATTGAAAGATTAGGCACTTATCACAGATTTCTCAGAAAGTATTACAATGTATGAATTCATTCCTCATGAAAATAAATAGAGAAATAAAATGAATAACGTCACTATGGAAACATTTTTAATGAAATTTCCAAATGAATAGAAAGATCAGGTTTAAATTATTCTATTGATACTTGTCATAGATTGGAGAGTTTTTTTCCAAATGAAAAGAACCGTTCGCGGTAGCTCAAAGGTAGCACCTACAGTGGGATTCGAACCCGCGACATAAGGATCAGCTCCTTACTTCCTGACTCTAGAGAAGACGCTCTAACCACTGCTCCATGAGGGCGACGCGGCACATTAAAATAAATCAAAATAAGAAAAGTCGCATCGCAGTCAGTTACGGTTATTTACGTAAAATTGAAGTTTACACCATTTGAAAGAAATATTGCAAGATGTTCAAAGCTAGATCAAATACAAATGAATTTAAAACATGGCTAGTCACGCAAGTAGAAACTTTATTTTTGTATGTTGTTGGTGAGATTTGCATTAATGTAGTGCAAACATATTTAAAAAATTATGCAAACGATGGTCAGAGGGTCATCTTCATGTATCCGGTTAGTTCATATCTTAAAATGGAAATATTATGCAACAAAAACAAAACAATTGACATCGAACTCATCCATGTAACACGGGGCCCATGGGCCACATCGCTCACCTGAGCACTGTGGCTAGGAAAAATCAATTCAGTAAATGCCTAAGTGGTCCCGATCCTAAAACAGGGGCGGGGGCTGATTTGAACAAACTGAATCTATGCATACTTGAACCTGCACTAACTAAGGGTGGTTACATATTTTTTGACTAACTGTGGCTTTATTCCAAATAAGTTATGTACTTTTGTGGTCCCACCCAATCCTGGGGGTCATGATTTTAACAAATCTTTATCTAAACTACTGTGATGCTAACATTTGAACAAGACCAATCAAGATTTTTATTAGCTCTACTGGTCAGAGACCAGAAGAGCTTATGCGATAGTAATGCGTCCGGCGTCCGTCCGTCTGTCTGTCTGTCTGTCTGTCTGTCCGTCTGTCTGTCCGTCTGTCTGTAAACAATTTTTCAAAACGCTACTCCTCCTACAATTTTAGTCTGATTTCAATATTACTTGGCACACAAGTAGACTACATTAACATACATAGAATAGTGCATCGGTTTTTGATTTCGATGAACGGTGTTGCCATGGTTACTAAAAATAGAATTTTCTGTGAAATTCCTTAAAAACGCTACTCCTTCTACAGTTTTGGTCTGATTTCAATATAACTTGGCACACAAGTAGACTACACTAAGATACATAGAATAGTGCATCGATTTTTAATTTTGATGAACGATGTTGCCATGGTTACTAAAAATAGAATTTTCTGTGAAATTCCTTAAAAACGCTACTCCTTCTACAGTTTTGGTCTGATTTAAATATAACTTGGCACACAAGTAGACTACACTAAGATACATAGAATAGTGCATCGGTTTTTAATTTTGATGAACGATGTTGCCATGGTTACTAAAAATAGAATTTTCTGTGAAATTCCTTAAAAACGCTACTCCTTCTACAGTTTTGGTCTGATTTCAATATAACTTGGCACACAAGTAGACTACACTAAGATACATAGAATAGTGCATCGGTTTTTAATTTTGATGAACGATGTTGCCATGGTTACTAAAAATAGAATTTTCTGTGAAATTCCTTAAAAACGCTACTCCTTCTACAGTTTTGGTCTGATTTAAATATAACTTGGCACACAAGTAGACTACACTAAGATACATAGAATAGTGCATCGGTTTTTAATTTTGATGAACGATGTTGCCATGGTTACTAAAAATAGAATTTTCTGTGAAATTCCTTAAAAACGCTACTCCTTCTACAGTTTTGGTCTGATTTCAATATAACTTGGCACACAAGTAGACTACACTAAGATACATAGAATAGTGCATCGGTTTTTGATTTCGATGAATGGTGTTGCCATGGTTACTAAAAAAAGAATTTTCTGTGAAATTCCTTAAAAACGCTACTCCTTCTACAGTTTTGGTCTGATTTCAATATAACTTGGCACACAAGTAGACTACACTAAGATACATAGAATAGTGCATCGGTTTTTGATTTCGATGAACGGTGTTGCCATGGTTACTAAAAATAGAATTTTCTGTGAAATTCCTTAAAAACGCTACTCCTTCTACAGTTTTGGTCTGATTTCAATATAACTTGGCACACAAGTAGACTACACTAAGATACATAGAATAGTGCATCAGTTTTTAATTTTGATGAACGATGTTGCCATGGTTACTAAAAATAGAATTTTCTGTGAAATTCCTTAAAAACGCTACTCCTTCTACAGTTTTGGTCTGATTTCAATATAACTTGGCACACAAGTAGACTACACTAAGATACATAGAATAGTGCATCGGTTTTTGATTTCGATGAACGGTGTTGCCATGGTTACTAAAAATAGAATTTTCTGTGAAATTCCTTAAAAACGCTACTCCTTCTACAGTTTTGGTCTGATTTCAATATAACTTGGCACACAAGTAGACTACACTAAGATACATAGAATAGTGCATCGGTTTTTAATTTCGATGAATGGTGTTGCCATGGTTACTATAAATAGAATTTTCTGTGAAATTCCTTAAAAACGCTACTCCTTCTACAGTTTTGGTCTGATTTCAATATAACTTGGCACACAAGTAGACTACACTAAGATACATAGAATAGTGCATTGGTTTTTAATTTCGATGAACGTAGTTGCCATGGTTACTAAAAATAGAATTTTCTGTGAAATTCTTTAAAAACGCTACTCCGTCTACAGTTTTGGTCTGATTTCAATATAACTTGGCACACAAGTAGACTACACTAAGATACATAGAATAGTGCATCGGTTTCTGATTTCGATTAACGGTATTACCATGGTTACTAAAAATAGAATTTTCTGTGAAATTCCTTAAAAACGCTACTCCTTCTACAGTTCTAGTTTGATTTCAAAATAAGTTGGCACACAAGTAGACTACACAAAGATACATAAAATAGTGCAATGGTTTTTGATAAGTACAAACCAGTAGAGCTACAGTCTCGACAGAGACTTCTGGTTTCCTATATATTCCTATGTAAAACTTTGATCATCCATTGTGGCTGTACCCCCCGGGGGGTCATGATTTGAACAAACTTGAATCTACACTACCTGAGGATGCTTCCATATAAACATGACCAATAATGGCTTTGCTGTTATTAAGAAGATTTTTCCTATATATTCCTATGTAAAACGTTGGTCGTCCATTGTGGCCCCACCCTACCACCGGGGGTCATGACTTGAATAAACTTGAATGTGCACTACCTGAGGATGCTTCTACATAAGTTTCATCTTTCCTGGCCCAAAGTTTTTACATTAATACCAGCTATTTATATTGATATATGGTGGCAAGAAGTATAAAATTCAAGTCCATCCCCTCCCTTCCCCAAGTAAACTTTTGAGTGCTGAGCTGATTTGTTTTTACCTAGCCCATGTGCTCAGGTGAGCAATGTTGGAGGTTGCTCCCACTACTTTGATACACGTTGCTATGGGCCTGTTCTCTGGGTAATAGCATTTGAAGCTACAGAGCTACAGATTCCTTGTGAACTGACTAAGTGTCAGCTTCCCAACAACAAGTTAAAGATACAAGCTTATAAATACTAGTATCTTATCTTTTGAAAAATGGAAATTAGCTCAAATGAACACAATATATGCTAGTTAAACATTACCAGGGTTAAGGGTTTTCTTAGGTGTACACAATTTTGTGAGCTTGCTCATTTCATATTCATGTTTTCTTTCACTGCATTTAATTTCCAGTATTTTGCATAGGATTTCCGACATGCTTAAAATTTCAATTTCGACAATTGTATTTCATTTCCGACATTTTTTGTATTTCTTGGATATCTGCAGGATCCTTTTCTGACAATTTTTTTGCATGCCAAACAGCTGGAAATAAAATTTTATATAAAATTAATTCATGTTCAAAAATTAAAAACATATTTATGATTCAATACATACTTATACAAGCAGCAATAATACTTATAATAATATCTTTCCCTGTGTTACATGTACAGGCGTAATTGTGATGTCTTCGTATTAAAAACATTCTACTGTCTGTTGAGAATTCCTTCAACGATGATTGTTTTTTCCTAGGGCCGTGTAAGAAGGTGGGGGGGGGAGAGGCTATTAAGCCGATACTTACCTATAGAATACTATTGAAAACTTCACTACAATATACATGTGCCCCCTCAATAATAATATCTGACGATACTCTATATTTTGGTTTGTTTGCCAAGGAATTTTCGGTTGTTGATAGTGCCCAAACTGAAAATATATGGTTGTAACACCCCCCCCCCCACCCCCGAAATTGCTTGTTAGGGAGCTGTATTTACCAGAAGTAGTTTCTGTATGCCTTTTAATTTCCATCCTTGCATATCTGAGTTCCGGAAGCGGGGGGGGGGGGGGGGGGGGGGGGGGGGGGTGGTTATGTGCTTAGCCTTTTCCTAGTATAGACATTGAACACTGTTGCGTAGGTTTAGCCCCCCACTTTCTACAGACACGTAGTCAAAATAGGTTTAAAATTAGGAATTCAAAGTGGTGCTGTTTGGAAACCAGAAGTCTCTGTCGAGACTGTAGCTCTACTGGTTTGTACTTCTAACAAAGGAGGAAAAAAGAAGCCATTGCCATCAGACCAAAACTGTAGAAGGAGTAGTGTTTTAAAGGAATTTCACTGAAAATTCTATCTATAATAACCATGGCAACACCGTTCAGCGAAGTCAAAAACCGATGCACTATTCTATGTATCTAAGTGTAGTCTACTTGTGTGCCAAGTTACTGGGGTTCTGGACTGTTAGGGTGGGGCTCTATTGATTATATAGTGGAAATGCATTATTTCTTTGAAAATCTTCTTCTCTGTTCCTGAGTATTAAATAAACAAATTAAGTACATAGTTATGATGAGCAAGAGTGTCTCTACATAAATTGTAAATTTTATGGCCCCAGGGTCTGGGGTTATGGTGTTAGGGTGAGGCTCTATTGATTATATAGTGAAAATGCATTGTTTCTTTGAAAATCTTCTTCTCTGTTCCTGAGTATTAAATAAACTAATTAAGTACATAGTTATGATGAACAAGAGTGCCTCTACCATATTTGTGAAATTCATGGCCCCAGGGTCGGGGTTCTGGTGTAAGGGTGGGGCTCTATTGATTATATAGTGAAAATGCATTAAATATTTGAAAATCTTCCTCTCTGCTCCTAGGTATTAAATAAACTAACTAAGTACATAGTTATGATGAGCAAGAGTGCCTCTACCAAAATTGTGAATTTTATGGCCCCAGGGTCAGGGGTTCTGGTGTTAGGGCGGGGCTCTATAATGATTATATGGTGAAAATACTTTACATCTATGAAAATCTTTTTCTCTACTTCTGGGCAATAAGCAGATTAACTTTTTACATAGTTATGATGGGCTCTTCTTCCAGAATTGTGAATTTCAAGGCCCCTGGGTCAGGGATACCAAAATTGGGAAGGGGGGGGGGGCGGGCTCTGCTTATATACTGAAAATGAATTGTTTGAAATCTGCTCCTTGGTATTAATCAAACATTTTTGATAAGCAAGTATGCCTTTTCAAAAATTGTGCAATGTGTAGACCTAGGGTCAGGGGTTCATATGTGGTAGGAGCACTCCTGATTATTGCTGAATATTACTGATTAGATGACATACTTTTTTGTTCCCCTACCCCTTCTTATCGGTATTAAATAAAACAGACAAAACAATTGCTAAGTGTTATGATTAGCAATGGTGTCTCTTTCAAAATTGTGATTGCCATAGCATCTAGCTTAAAATATGAACCAAATTCAATCATTTGAAAGTTGTTGCATGATGCTCAGGTGACCTATAAGGCCCATGGGCCTCTTGTTTTTAACTCACCCTTTCACTCACATGTAGTTGTTGCCATGACAACAATTGATGGAACATTTCATACATTTTTTCAGCACTCTCCACAAATACAATCATCAACACATTAATTTAATATTCATTTCCATGACGAACACTGATCCAAAAGTCAAATTTCTTTACAGGAGGCATAGGGTACATTGGTTGCCAGGCACTGGGAATCGTTGCCATGTGTTGATTAAAGACGAAAAAAATTAAGATTGACCGACAGTTCATTGTCAGTTTTGCTCAATCACATTTTTCTGTCTTAATTTGAATAAGTCTTAATAAGATTACACGAATACACGCCAAAATTACCTTTCTTTTCCTTGTTGCTATGGAGAACCTGCCGTTGCTATGGAGATAAAGAATTATGCAATACTCAATAATGTGCTAGGGAGACTGAATTTAATTATACTATTTTAAAATTTGTATCTCGTTTATCATAACCGTTCATTTGATTTTTCCGTAAACTTTTTACATTGTTTCTCATTTTATGCATCAAAAAGCCCATTTTTGTTGCTAGGCAACAGGTTCGATTTTAAAAAGAGCCCATGGATTTGACTTCAAATTCTAAAAGAGAAATACCTCTTCTTTTATGTGAGATACATGCAACAACTGTATTAATCTGGCCATTTTTAAAATTTGGCCTTGAATATTGCCAAAATTACGAAAAATGCTGAATCAGCAAAACTTGTAAAACATGTGTACCTTCCAATGTCTACCACAGAACTGACTTAAGACCTAAATATTTTTTATTACATTATTAGAACACATTAAATGTGTATCTTTGTTACACCTAAAAGTAAGAATAATTCTCATGGTATTTACGTGTTATTTTAAGCCTCAAAGATAGGTGATTTTTTGTCCTTCAACATTGAAAAATCCGCCGGTTGCTAAGGAAATTTCTTTGGCCGGGTTTCCATGGTTACCATGACTCAAAACATTTTTCATTTTACATACATTGTTCATACTTCAAAATAAATCTATGAGTGGAAAATCATTAAATTCTGAAAACCTTCATGTATCACTTTTTAACAGTTTTGTCTGATTTTTATGTGGACTGGTACTTAAAAGGTATACAAGTTCTTTAGACTGGGCCATCCTTAAAAAATTGTTTGTTTGGAATTGCCGCCTGAAGGGTTTCAGACACAGGAGGGAGGGAAGAAAATTTTTGTTTGTTAAATTGAAGATTAACAGTAAACAGTAAATACATTTTCTGACTTTTAAAGAAAGCATCTACCATCAACAAAAAACCTAATTTTACATAGATCTGACACTATATTTCAGTGTTTTGTATGGTGCATGTGATAAATGTAATGGGCAAAAAAATTGATTAAATAAAAAAAAATCTTCTTACTTTTGGTCAATAAAATTTTTTCAGGAGGGGGCATTTCAATGAGGCAGGAGGCAATTCCAAACAAACTATAATTTTATATTGGCCCTGCTCTTTGATTGAAAATTTTTATCGCAATACACTTGTATATATAGCTATCCAGTGTGTAGTGAAAACATTAATTAATAAATTTCCAAGTCTGTGATTTTTATGACAGTTCAATTTGGTCAATACTGTAAACAAAAATAAACTACTGTAAATCAGGTTTTATTCGCGAGAACTTAATTTTCGCATAATTACGTGAGACAATGAGCTCGCGAAAATTAATTCTCGCGTTTAAAAGTATTTCTTACGATTATATAGAGTTAAAACAATAATTCGTGAAAATTATGTCTCGCTAATAAAGAGTCAATGACTATCGCGTGAAAATAAGGTGTCGCAAAAATTTAGTGCTCTACAGTACCTACCTTGAAAAATGTGGGTCGGAGTACATCTAACAAAAATAATTTTTATGATAGCTTTACATTCTTCATTTTGTTTAAATTATGAATAAATCCTAAACTCATGTGTGGACTAAGGGCAATTCACATGTACATATACTCTGCTACTTCAAAGAAAAGTCTGCAACTTTTAAAGAAGGGTGCCATTTTTTCTTAATGATGAATGAATCACAGAATGGTGCCTTATCCATTTCTTTTCAGGATGGAATATCCCAGGAACCCTAAGCTGCATTACTTGTATCCTCCCCCAACTGTGGCCATAGTAACCAATATAGCCAATGCTCTGGCTTCATATCCAAAATTCTATGTCCAGGTAAGTCCTTCAGTAAATGAGATAGGAGACAAACATAATCTGTAAATTATGTGTTATTGAGCTCATTTTGTGAACATAAGTAACTGTGAAGATTCTGGCATATATAGATATTCATTGGTAGTGTAATACACTCAATTTCAGCTTACACCCATGAAAGATACTAGGTATTGGGGAGTTAGATTTGTACCTAATACAAGTAGAAATGTATATATTTTATCTAAGCAATGTCTATAATTTTGCTTCAGGTGCTCCATCTAATGAACAAAATGAACCTGCCTGCCCCGTTTGGACCTGTTACCTCCACACCTCCTATAGTGAGTATAACCACAGGCACCTGAATTTTTACCAATAAGTCGCTAAATTAGCAGAATATTGAAAAATTTTACCCCCTCTATATATAAATACACAAGGTGTGCAACGCCATTTTGACCCCCTGCTTCAATTTAACGCATAAATCGGATATGCCTACCGGTGTGCATGTAGCGTTGGGTTCAAATATGATAATTCTCATTAAACATCTCTTCCTAAAGTTAAAATCTATTAATGTGTTCATAATGCTATCAAGTAAAACTTCAGCAAACTTCGGATTTCATATTTGTAATTATATATAGAGGGGGTCGAATTTTTCAATATTTGGCTAATTTAGTGACTTAATGGTAAAAATTCAGGTGCATGTGGTATAACCTAACTTTACACACATCATTGAAAGCATACTACAAGGACAGTGGACCTTGATAATTCTCTAGTTTTAGTCATACGTAACAGTAAATAACGGATCACTTGAGGATGATCTCCCTTGTCCAGAATAACTTTCAATTTCCTAGAAAATTATATCATTAAACTATACACATTCTTTCTCTCTTACTGGCCACTCAAGCTAATATTAATTGTTATAATGACTTGATTTGCCCACAGCCTGGTGATAAAGAAGATACTCTGATGTTAGGAAAAGATCAGCTAGAATCTGAGGAAATGGAAGTTATAAGTGAGGAGGAATCAGAGATGGAAAGTGAAAGTGAAAATAACGGGTAAAATCATCAGTGGAAGCAATGATTTAATCTACTTATGTCTCTTAGAGATTTGAAACAACATTTATAACCTCTTATAAATAGGGTGTCTTTAATATAAGCTTTGATCTATTTGATTGATATGAATAATTTTTTTTTTCTAAATAGCAATGTTAAAGAAAAAATTGCTGTCAAGAGACCTTTGAAAAGAAAATCCAGATTACCTAAGAAGAAGTTAAAGTTAGCTCCCTTAGTGGCCCCCTCAGAAACCCCACCTGTCAGACCGACTCAGGTGATACATGCTCAGGAGGTGTTTGAGCAGCCCACCTCACAGGTCCAGTCCAAGAAAATAGAACTGAGGCTGCCAGAGGCAGTGCTACCCAGAGATGAAGATAAAGGTTGGCATTTCTTTTATTGGACAACTATTTTGTTTTAATTGAATTAATCAAATGCAGTTAACAATCATGTGGTGGCACATTTTTAGTTGTAGAGCCCCCTGATTTGTTGTCAGTGGTGGAATCAGCTGAGCAGACTGGAGGGGAGGAAGGCGGTGAAAGTGGATTCGGGAAAATTCAACCTGTAGAGAAGGTAAAGTAGAAATGAGACTTACCAACCAATGGATCATGTGATTGAAAGTTATCATTCTGTTTTATGCAAGCATATTTTATACAGTTTATGTGAATGTTTTAGTTAAAAAATAAATGGAAATCTACCCCCTTTTGCAAAGTTGTGTATTAATTTAGTACTGGTCATATTACTGGTGCAGAAAAAAAGCTGAGGTTGAAACATGTAATTCTCCCAATTTATTATAATTATGCTTAGCTGCACAGTATGAACTTTGAACTCTATCTTTTCTAGCCTCCACCAGAAGAAGAGTTGAGGGAATCAGACCTACCCTATACGGTAGATCCTGAGTTGTTTCTGTCCCTGGATGAAATCAAAAAGGGCAGAATATCCCAGTCAGGTAAATACACAGTGTGTCTTGTGATCTCCCATATTAAATCATCATCTTTTTTTGGACACATTTAGCAAATGTAAAGTCAGTCTCTTTAAAAAGGAAAACCAACAGGAAACAGGAACAGTTTGATTTTTTTTCTATTTTACTGCATTTCATGTGATATGTTAATGAAATATTTAATTTCCTTTTTTTCTAGAAATGAAGAATTTTTCAGTTTTTAAAAAATATGAAGCTGGTGAGGTGGCCGGCCGCCTGTATATCAAGAATCTTGCTAAAAATACCACAGAGCAGGTAAAACTGCACATTTATACATGTTCATAGATGTATAAATGTTTTTCAATAAAATTAGAATTAACTTATGGTGTGAGTTGACTTAAAATTGGTTTTTATGTTGCAGTTTTTCATAAATTTGTAGTTTTAGGACAAGCCACTAAAACACAATAGAAATTTTATTTGAAAGTGATTATAGAAATCTTACGAGTATCAATCTGTACTCAGAGTTGCTATGTTTCCTCACAACATTCTGACCTCAGTCATACAGGTATTACAAGAAAAAACTGATTTATAAATATATATGTTTAGAAAAAGAATTCTTTGAAGTTTTGAACATTTTCTATGAGAATCATAAATCTGAGACATTGACAGAGGTGAAACATCACTCTGGGTATACATGTTGTTTGTTTTTCATTGATCATATCACATTGTATTCTTGAGTTTTGGCTTCATGTAATCTAATGTGTTCCTTTCTTTAAACAGGACCTTGTCAATATATTTGGAGGCTTTGTGAATTGGAGTGACGAGTTAGAAAAGAACATGTAGGTTATCATTCATTAAGATTACATGTACTTTTTTTCTATGATTAGAACTTAGAGCTCTTATAATAGAAGAAATAAGGGTAATAATTAGGTTTTGGTTTATAAAGAAATATAATTTTCTTACATTTTTTAACAGATTTGATATACGTTTAATGAAGGAAGGCCGAATGAAGGGACAGGCTTTTGTCACCTTCGCCAATGAAAAGTCAGCTCACAAAGCTCTCAAGGAAACAAACGGCTTTGTCCTGAATTCCAAACCCATGGCAGTGGTAAGTCCACCTTGCTGACTAAGAATGGGTAATCATATATTGCTAGCTCATCTGAGTCAAGGCTCAAAGAGTGACCTTTTACATGTAGATGGAGATTTTGGCTTTATTTAGATTTTTCAGATTCTAAGAGGCTTAGAATCATTAACTTTAAATAGTTGGTGCATCTTTAGTTCTTGGAGTTTGTTAACGAGAAAGGTTACCATGACCTACTTTCTGAATGTTATGGCTTTGCCTTAATATATCAGATACTAAGTGGATTAGAACAGAAATGACAACATTGTAAAGAGCAATTCTAGGCCCTTGGGCGTCTTGTTACATTAATACCATGGTAATTTAATTTTTTTTAATTTTAGCAATTTGCAAGATCAGCAAAGGCAAAGGAACCCAATGAGAAGCCTTCTAAGAAATGATGTTAGAACAAAGTCAAGGACAAGGCTTTCAAAGTCAAGGACAGTGGAAGAAAAACACACTGAACTCGCAAATGTAAAATATTGAGATTGAGTTTATAATAGCAGTAAGAATGGCAATTGGATTGTGATACACATGTACAAGTACTGCAAAGCAACAGGACAGCTCAAATCTTATATGTCCAGAAAATTAAAAAATGTACTTAACTCTTCTTGAATTTGGTGCTACATTTAGTAACTGAAATAGGAATTAACATCTAATAGATACATGTAGAAGCTGATGAAAGAATCGTTTCTGAAATCATGAAACCTGTCGGTACATTTGCAAATGTTTTTTGTAAACATGAAATATGTTATTTCTTTTTTGATATTCAATGCAACTGGAATAAAATCTAAGTAAAAAGTAACATATATGTGTTTTATATCCTTTGTTATGCCCTGCCATGAATATGGCTGGGGCATATACACGGCGGAGAATCTACGTCATCGGACGGGATTAGGACACACAAAAATGGAGGACAAATGCTCCGCTTCGATGTAAGAAGTTGATATTTTTGCATTTATAAAGAATGAATATTAAATCAGTATCCTGCCTAAAGTATGCCAAAGAACGTCAACTACAATAGACAATGTACGTTTGCTGGTGATAGAATCTTATTGTTCCAAACACTTCGACACAGTTTGAAAACAAGTGAGAAAAAACCGGGATGTGGGGTACACATTTTTAAAATTCGACCAATTATTCGCATGTTCAGATGTACTAGACATTTTATTCTTCCGCGTTTACACTAGAACTAATATTTTTTAAAAATCCTGATTTTTTAAATAGTTTATTATGCTTTAATTATCCAAGAAAAAAGTATAAATCATTTTGTTTTCAGAAATGATGTAGGGCACACCAACACTAAAACGGATATGGGACACACAATAAGTTACTTTCAAATTGAAACATCGAGCATTCATATCTTAAAGTTTCCATTTAAGTGACTGCCATTTGATAGTATATGAACAATAACCTGTACAACTCATCTTTGTAATACTCATCCAAATACTTGATTCCCTTGGTTTGCTTGTGTATCCATACAAAAATTATAAGTTGAAAACGCTGGTCTGATCTCCAACAAAAGCTTCCAACATGAATTTTAAATTTTGACTTTTATTAAATTCCATGTAGAAATTTACCGATGTTCACTTCTGCAGATCCATAGAAAGAGGGGGGGGGTTCGAAGTCCGGAGATTGTGTTAATTTTATGATATTTCTATTTAAAGTTACACGACATCCGCCCCCCCCCTTGGGAACCCCCCCCCCCCAAAAAAAAAAACAACAACACACACACACACACACCTGTACAAACTCACGAAATAAGTTTTTTTTTAGCTTTGTCTTACTTTTTTGCTTGTCAAAATAGTTTGGAGTCAGAAAATTCTTTAATTGGAATTCCCTTGGTTTGCTTGTATCCATACAAAAATTCAAATATTATAAGTTGAAATGGCCGGTCTGATCCTCCACAAAAGCTCATTAGCTGCCAAAATGAATTTTAAATTTTGACTTTTATTAAATATCATATTGAAAGATACTAGTATTTACATGTGCGGATCTAAAAGGAGGGTTGAAGTCCGGAGTCTTTGTATATGATTTTACGTACTCTACGATATTTTTGTGTTAAGTAACACGACCCAGACCCAATTAAACACATATATATATAGCTTTTTGAGGTTGATTGTTCAATTTCTTTGCTTGTAAAAATATTTTGGAGTCAGAACTTCTTTTTCTGAGTTTGTGTGGACACTCCCCCCCCCCCCCCCTTCGAAAAGTTTCTGTATTTGCATATTCAATGTTTGTTTTTATTAGATCTTTGTCGGTAACACTCTAGTATGTCAGCTGATAGGAAGCGGAGATTAGGGAATTTTTCTTATGCTCAAATTTTTGCAACAGCTGACAAACTTCTTTCAAAATTCTAATAGTTAATTACCGACTCCATATATTTGAGAAAAAAAGACAAAATTGAATATTGTACTTCGAAGTTAACATCATCGTATTAATTGAAAAAAAAATTATTGTTTTATTATGTGTCTTTCCTGATATACTTTCTTTTATCAAATAAAATATACAACATGACTATATGAAGATAGTCATGTTGTATATTTTATTTGATAAAATAAAGTATATCAGGAAAGACACATGTATGAATCAGTGATTAAATATTACGTACTCATAAAGCAGTTCATGTCATCTTATTTACATTCGCTGGAATATTAGCCAAAAGCAATGATAGGAGCCGGCTTAAATAAACATTACCAGCCGTATAAATTGGGATTTTTTTTGTTGTAAAAAGTACTTTCGTAGCTATACATAAAAAAGAAATAATGTCAAGCTCTTTTATATGATAAGGTTTGAAAAGGGGGGGGGTCACTATCAGAGAAAAATGACAGCTAAAAACCTTTGATTGGCACCCACGAAAAGACAATTTTTAACTTCAAGTTTTGTTTTGGCCCTGCCCATCACTGACAACCACTTTCATACATTCGATTACTAATATTATGTTCACCTGAGTGCAAGCTAGGAGCAAATAAAATAGTTTTCCAAAACTATTTGTTGCAATTTGGAATTTCCCGATCAATTTTTAGACCACTGTGTAGGGAAAATAAATTCTTATTATCATCTGGAAGGTCAGTTGTTGCAAATATTTGAGCATAAGAAACGTTCTTGATCTCTTTCCCATATTAAAAGACATGCTAGTGTCAAAGATCTTATTAATACTAATATGCAGATTTAAGAACTTTTTCGGGGGGGGGGGGGTCCACACAAAGTCCAAAGAATTTTCTGACTCCAAACTATTTTGACAAGCAATAAAGTAAGCAACAAAGCTAAAAAAAACTTATTTCGTGAGTTTGTATGTGTGTGTGTGTGTTTTTCGTGTTTTTTTTCGGGGGGGGGGGGGCGGATGTCGTGTAACTTAAAATGGATATATCAATAAACACAATCTCCGGACTTCGACCCCTCCCCCCCCCCTCCCTCTTTCTATGGATCTGCAGAAGTGAACATCGGTAAATTTCTACATGAAATTTAATAAAAGTCAAAATTTAAAATTCATGTTGGAAGCTTTTGTTGGAGATCAGACCAGCGTTTTCAACTTATAATTTTTGTATGGATACAAGCAAACCAAGGGAATCAAGTATTTGGATGAGTGTTACAAAGATGAGTTGTACAGGTTATTGTTCATATACTATCAAACGGCAGTCATTTAAATGGAAACTTTAAGATATGAATGCTCGATGTTTCAATTTGAAAGTAACTTATTGTGTGTCCCATATCCGTTTTAGTGTTGGTGTGCCCTACATCATTTCTGAAAACAAAATGATTTATACTTTTTTCTTGGATAATTAAAGCATAATAAACTATTTAAAAAATCAGGATTTTTAAAAAATATTAGTTCTAGTGTAAACGCGGAAGAATAAAATGTCTAGTACATCTGAACATGCGAATAATTGGTCGAATTTTAAAAATGTGTACCCCACATCCCGGTTTTTTCTCACTAGTTTTCAAACTGTGTCGAAGTGTTTGGAACAATAAGATTCTATCATGAGCAAACGTACATTGTCTATTGTAGTTGACGTTCCTTGGCATACTTTAGGCAGGATACTGATTTAATATTCATTCTTTATAAATGCAAAAATATCAACTTCTTACATCGAAGCGGAGCATTTGTCCTCCATTTTTGTGTGTCCTAATCCCGTCCGATGACGTAGATTCTCCGCCGTGATATAGTGTTTGTCATGTCCGTCTTCCGTTCTTCTGTCTTTCCGTCCTTCTGTCCTTCCGTCATACTTTGCGTTTAGCTCTGTTTAAAGCTCAGTTTCAAAGAAACTATCCAAGATATTTTCATCAAACTTCACATGCTGATAGATATTGATGAGAGCTATGCAACTGCATCAACATTTTTTTACCTTGACCTTTCCTTTGATCTTGACCTCACTTTTCTTTAATAATTTTTGACATTGACCTTTCATTTGAACTTGACCTCACTTTTCCTAAATCAGTGTCAAATTGATACATACTGATGTAAGCAATTCAACTGCATCAACAATTTTGACCTTGACCTTTCATTTTACCTGGACCTCACTTTTATCAAATTGTGTTTAAGCCATTTTAAAAGAAATGATTCAAGATATTTTTATCAAACTTCATATGTTGATACATATTGATGAGAGATATGCAACTGCATCAAATTTTTTTGCCTTGATCTTTGCTTTGACCTTTTTTTTTTTTGCATTTCCTTCAACCTCACTTTTTAGCTCACCTGAGCCAAAGGCTCAAGTGAGCTTTTCTGATCAAAATTTGTCCATCGTCTGTTGTTGTCGTCGTTGTTGTTGTCGTCGTAAACTTTTCACATTTTCATCTTCTTCTCAAGAACCACTGGACCAATTTCAACCAAACTTGCTACAAAGTATCATTGGGTAAAGGAGATTCAAGTTTATTAGGGCCCCGCAAGGATTTGCGGGTGCCCTATAGTATTCACTCTGTCTGTCCGTCTGTCCCTCTTCCGTCCACAAATTTTCTGTTTTTTTCTAATAACTTTTTTTATGGTTGCCCAATCCAGTTCAAATTTGGTATGGTAGTTCAGTAGGCAGAAATACATATTTTGATGCCAAGTTTGGTTCTCAATGTCTTCTGGTTTGGAGCTGGGGTGGTGGGGTAGATTCCTTAACTATGCATAAGAATGAATGGGCAACTTTTTTTATGGTTGCCCAATCAAGTACAAATTTGGTATGGTAGTTCAGTAGGCAGAAATACATATTTTGATGCTAAGTTTGGTTATCTATGTCCCCTGGTTTGGAGCTGGGGTGGTGGGGTAGATTCCTTAACTTTAGAATGCATTGGCAAAGAGAGATAACTGCTGAAGATGTTTGCATTGTAAAATGAATGCTGGCTATGAGTCCATAGGGATTAATTAGCTTTCCTCCTGAAGAAAATCCAGAGCATTATCTTTATCTGTCACATTGAGATGAATTACCACCTCTGTCTGCAAATGAAGTTTGTTTTGAAGTTAAGTCAATTTGGAATGCTATGAACACTGTGAAATGTGGATTTAGATATAACATTTTATAATTTATTTTTGTTTAATAGTTTTAATTTCATTGAATTCTAAAGACAAGAAATAGATTAAAGACAATTTTTTGATTTACTTTTTTCACTTTACGTTAATTAATTTTTAAGGTAGTTTTATAAAAACCCCATTCTATCATTAATACTGAAAAAGTTCTTATTGTAACTTTAGAAGAAAATGATGAGAGAGGTACAATTAATCCTTTGGAATCAATTATCTAGCCTGCTGGAGAAAATTTAGTAGGCTTTTCTTTATCTTTAAGATTAATGAAAACCTTTGTCTGCAACTGCTGTTTATTGAAGTTTAGGTCAAGCCTTCATGATAATTTCATTCATTGAAGGCTGGCATTCTATATAACACAAGCTTCATAATTGTTTAATACATTCAATGTTTAAGTTATTGTTTGCTGCCTAATGTAAATACAAGGATATTATTTTCAGGTTTTTGAATATTCAGGAATTATTTTGAAATTTTAAGAATACAGTTGCTGTTGCTTATTCTTCGTACATTTTTTAATCATTCCGTAAGCTGCACCCTTTTAATTCTACCCCATGGCGGGGCCCTTGCTGACTGGTCAGTTTTCTAGTTCAAATGAAGGGCCACGCCCTTTTCCAAGGGGAGATAATTATGAATTAGAGAAAAATTAATGGCATTTTTAAAAAATCTTCTTCTCAAGAACCACTGGGCCAGGAAAGATGAAACACATATGGAATCATCCTCAGGTAGTGTAAATTTAAGTTTGTTCAAATCATGACCCCCCAGGGGTAGGGTGGGGCCAAAATGGCCGATCAAAGTTTTACACAGGAATATATAGGAAAAATCTTTAAAAATCTTCTTCTCAAGAACCACTAGGCCAGGAAAGATGAAATCCTCAGGTAGTGTAAATTCAAGTTTGTTCAAATCATGACCCCCCAGGGGTAGGGTAGGGCCAAAATGGCCGATCAAAGCTTTACATAGGAATATATAGGAAAAATCTTTAAAAATCTTCTCAAGAACCACTGGAACAGGAAAGATGAAACTCATGTGAAATTATCCTCAGGTAGTGTAGATTCAAGTTTGTTCAAATCATGACCTCCGGGGCTAAGATGGGGCCAAAATAACCGACCAAAGTTTTACATAGGAATATATAGGAAAAATCTTGTAAAAATCTTCTTTTCAATTTTATCAAAGCCATGATTAGTAATATTTATATGGAATCATCCTCAGGTAGTGTAGATTCTAGCACGTTCAAATCATAATCCCCTGGGGGGTTAACATTCAAGCCCCCCCCCCCCCTCCCCCACCTCAGTAAATCTGATATGTGCTTTTTCCTAGCCGATGTGCTCAGGTGAGCACTGTGGGCCCTGGGCCTCTTGTTGTAAATTAGTGTCAAACTTCATACGCTGACATATCTTAATGTAAGCAATCCAACAGCATCAAAATTTTTGACCTTGACCTTTCATTTGACCTTGACCTCACTTTTATCAAATGTTAAAGAAACCATTTATAATTTTTTTCTTAGAACTTAGTATGCTGATACATACTGATAAGAGCTTTTCAACTGCATCAAAATTTTTTGACCTTGGCATTTCCTTAGACCTTTGACCTCACTTTAGAGAAATAAGTGTCAAACTTCATATACTGATACTATTGATGTAAGCAGTTCAACTGTATCAACATTTTTGACCTTGCCCTTTCATTTGACCTTGAACTCACTTTTATCAAATTGTGTTTAAGTCAGTTTTAAAGAAACCATTTATATTTTTTTCAACGTCATAAGCTGATACATACTGATGAGAGCTTGTCAACTTCATCAACATTTTTTGAGTTGACCTCGGCATTTCCTTTGACCTTTGACCTCACTTTATAGAAATTAGTGTCAAACTTCATATGCTGATACATGCTGATGTAAGCAATTCAACTGCATCACTATTCAAGATATTCTGACCAAATTTCATACACTAATACAAATTTTCATGTTGCATTTCTAATAAACCCTTGGCGGTGCATTCATGTCCTATGGACAGATTTCTAGTTAAGTCAGTATTTGACAAAATATTTTACCATACTTCATGAATATGGTCATGGCAGAAAGTGTTTGTCTTTGAAACTTCAGATCCTCTTCTTTTGTCTGTCACACTTTGCCTCAAATTTGAGTTTCAATGGAACTATTTTTTCCCCCTCAAATTAAACATTAAGATGTATTGGTTACAGCATCTGTGTCATGTAAGTTTTTGACCTTAAGTTTCTCTATGACCCTTAACCTCGCTATTCCTCATTAACTTAATTTCATTTTGGTTTTCATCAAACTTTATGCACTGATGGAATTTGAAGAGCCATGTCATCATTTTATGTCCTTGCTTATGATGTTGACCTCTCTAGTTCATATTTTGTGTTTATATTACTTTCATTTAGAAGTTAAGTACCTTTTCATCAGTATTCATAAACGGGTGTAATCTGAGAAGAACAATTCAACTGTGTCATCTTTTTTAGTCCTTGATCTTCCTTAAGACCTTGACCTTTCATTTTCTCATTTACATTTATTTTGGTATATAAGTTAAACTTCTTACATTCTCTATGATCCTGAACTTCATTTGTCAATATATTTTGATCAAACCTCATATGACATATTTGAGAGAACAATTCAATTCAATAAATTCCTGTAATTTTGAGCTTCCCTTTATATGACCTTTACCTTCCCTATCACCTTAAACAACACTGCAAGATGATCAAACCTGATTCAAAATTACATTTTGTATACAGTAACTGTGTCATCATTTTCAGACCTTGACCTCCCAATGAACCTCACCCCCTTTGTTTTGCGTTCGCCTTTTTTTTTTAAACTAACCTTACAGGTACTTTCATCATAGTTCATACATTGATACCAATTGGTGAGAGTAATTCAACTGTGTCAAAATTCTCTAGATCCTAGGAAATTTTGTTTGTCTTGTTTTACATTCCATAAAGAATTGAGAGATCATACATATTCAGACATAGACATTGCCATACTTTATATAATGTTGGGGAAAAATTTTATTTCTTATTACCAACTCCTTCAGTGAATTCTAATCAATGCTTTCTCCATATTTCATTACAAACAAAAAGTTTAAATATACTTCACATTCATAAATTTATTGTCTGGTGTATTCCTCAAACTGACATGATAAATCACATGATTTTTATAGAATACTTGTGTCCTTACACAAGTATACTTTTATCACTAAAACACAATACATAATTGCCTACATGGCACACATAAAATAGCTAATTAAACGTGCAACATCAGATCAGCATCACAGAACGTTTGGCATGGAACACGAATTATAATAGCCACAATCTAATGTCAATCTCCATCCCTCCTCATCTAAAACCTATCTGAAGTGACAATAAAATGCTTGTATCACATCGTCTTGTCTATAAATATAAGCACACTCTTTCAGACTAATGTTATTACTAGGGATTATCATAAGCTCTCTGTATCGCTCTCTGTGGCATGTAACTGAAATTCTCCCGAGGCCTCATCCACATGCTCCTCCATTGGTAATAAAACTGTAACGACAAAATTAAAACAGTTACTATAAGGAAAAAATAAATCTGCCCTAGGCATGTTCCTCCACTGGTAATAAAACTGTTAACACAAAATTAATCAATTTATATCAACATGATTTTGACCTGAAGGTGTACAGGTTTGTCATTAAGTGTGAAAAAGTCTAATAAAGTGCCCCCCCCACAGCATGATATGCCCGTCAAATATTGTTCAATAATCATAAATTGGTTAGGATGCAAGAAAATCAGGTAGCCATGATTAACAGATTGACACAGATTTCAATTATCTATTTTCCATTTCTTATTATACATCTCTAAGAGACTTACAGTGTAGGGATTGATTATAACAAATAATACTAGTGAGACATGACTGCAATTTGTAGCAAATATATAAAAATTGAAATAATTTTTTTTATTTTCAATTAACACATGTATAATTAGTTTTAATCATATTGTACAATACTAATTTAGTTTTAATCATACACTAAAACATCAATTTGTTTTAATCAATTACACCAATTGAAAGATCTTTATCTGGACTAGCCATCAAGAACTCTTAATTAACACAACAACTATGAGGCCATTTCTTTTTGCCCAACTCCCAAGAGATAAATTAAGATAACTGCTGCACCAGATCTAGAGGTGCTCTTAGCTCCTGACATTAAACTCATTAATTTCTCTCTAATTTGACATGCAAATTACTGCTATCAAAATCTTCTTGACCAGTGCTTGATAATTAAGCCCATGGGACAAACAAAATTCCTCTCAAAGCATAAACATTTGTTACAGATTGCTGTAAAGCATATAATGAAAAAATAAGTTTTTACTTAATCTTATGTTTTTTAATAAGGATACAACTATATTTTTACATTTTTTAGGATTATGAAATTTAGAATTTAAAAGACATAGTTTTTAAAAAAAATCATTTTAATTAAAGGTCACAGTGACCTTGAAAAAGGCTGCGACACACCTTCTACTTTAGATGTATACTTTTGCTAAGTTTGAAAGCTCTAGGTCTAATAGTTTTCTAGTTATGAGCCGGACAGGATTTTTCCATATTTGGCTATAGCATCTTTGTTGCAAATATATAAAAATTGAAATATAATTTTTTTTTTTAAATGAACACATATATAATTAGTTTTAATCATATTATACAATACTAATTTAGTTTTAATCATACACTAAAACATCAATAAAATGTTTTAATTTCATTACACCTATTGAAAGATCTTTATCTGGACTAGCCATCAAGAACTCTTAATTAGCACAACAACTATGAGGCCATTTCTTTTTGCCCAACTCCCAAGAGATAAATTAAGGTAACATCTGCATCAGATCTAGAGGTGCTCTTAGCTCCTGACAATAAACTCATTAATTTCTCTCTAATTTGACATGCAAATTTCTGCTATCAAAATTCTTCTTGACCAGTGCTTGATAATTAAGCCCATGGGACAAACTGAATTCCTCTCAAAGCATAAACATTTGTTACAGATTGCTGTAAAGTATATAATGAAAAAACAAGTTTTTACTTAATTTAACGTTTTTTAATTAGCATACAACTATATTTTTACATTTTTTAGGATTATAAAATTTAGATTTTAAAAGACTTAGTTTTTTAAAAAAATTCACTATAATTAAAGGTCACAGTGACCTTGAAATAGGCCACGACACACCTTCTACTTTAGATGTATACTTTTGCCAAGTTTGAAAGCTCTAGGTCTAATAGTTTTCTAGTTATGAGCCGGACAGGATTTTCCCATATTTGGCTATAGCATCTTTATTAAAGGTCAGAGCGACCTACTTTTTGTGCGCGACACACCGTCTACCCAAGAAGTATGAGTTGACAAAGTTTTATAATCCTAGGCCTAATAGTATTCAAGTTATGAGCCGGACAGGAATGGACAGACGGACAGACGGACGGACGGACACGAAGTCTATAACATAATACGTCCCGTCTTAAGACGGGCGTATAAAAAAACTAGAACTGTCCAAACGGGACAAAATACCCCCCACTGGGTTTTTCAGAGGTAAGTTTTTCCATAATAAAGATATGTATCAAACACAAATTATGAAATTTTACTTCCAGTGACCGTGAACTTCCCCAAATGACCTTGTGTCAAGGTCATGACACACCCTTGGGTCATCGGCAATCTTTGAGTGAAATGAGAACCTACCAAGTTTATCCATAAGAAAGATATGGACCGGACATGAATTATGATATTTTTCTTCCAGTGACCTTGACCTTCCCCAAATGACCTTGGTTCAAGGTCATGACACACCCTTGGGTCATGGGCAATCTTTGTGTGAAATGAGAACGTACCAAGTTTATCCATAAGAAAGATATGGACCGGACACGAATTATGAAATTTTACTACCAGTGACCTTGAACTTCTCCAAATGACCTTGGGTCAAGGTCATGACACACCCTTGGGTCAAGGGCAATCTTTGAGTGAAATGAGAACCTACCAAGTTTATCCATAAGAAAGAAATGGACCGGGCATGAATTATGAAATTTTTTCTTCCAGTGACCTTGAACTTCCCCAAATGACCTTGGGTCAAGGTCATGACACACCCTTGAGTCATGGGCAATCTTTGTGTGAAATGAGAACCTACCAAGTTTATCCATAAGAAAGATTTGGACCGGAAACAAATTACAAAATTTTTCTTCCAGTGACCTTGAACTTCCCCAAATGACCTTGGGTCAAGGTCACGACACACCCTTGGGTCATGGGCAATCTTTGTCTGAAATGAGAACCTACCAAGTTTATTCATAAAAGATGTGTATCAAACATGAATTATGAAATTTTTCTTCAAGTGACCTTGAACTTCCCCAAATGACCTTGGTTCAAGGTCATGACACACCCTTGGGTCATGGGCAATCTTTGTGTGAAATGAAAGCCTACCAAGTTTAATCCATAAGAAAGATATGGACCTGACACGAATTATGAAATTTTTCTTCCAGTGACCTTGAACTTCCCCAAATGACCTTGGGTCAAGGTCATGACACACCCTAAGGTCATGAGCAATCTAAGTGTAGAGTAGTAGATTCTAATGTCCCTCTGTAAGAAAGATATGGACCGGACACGATTGCACAGACAGACGGACAGACAGCTGGACAGACGGACGGACGGACAGACAGACAAGGTGATTCCTATATACCCGGGGGGTATAAAAAACTTGCTGCAAAGGTATCTTTGTGTAATATAGTTATCAAAGTATAGGTAAGCTTAGAGAGTCAGTTTATTTGAGACTGACCTCATCAAGATGTACAGATAATATTGTTTATTGTTCCTTTGAGACTGACCTGAATCATCTATCTGTGAGGATGCCTCGTCCTCGTCTGTGGCGTATCGTTTATCAATGGCCTCCTTGATTTGGTTGTTTATTCCCTTGGGATCCAGCTCCATAGCCCAGGAAAAGTTCATCAGGGCCAGGTGGGTGTTTCCCAGCTTTTTGTGAACCTAGGAAATACACGTACATGTAGTTATAATCCATTCATTATTACATGACCAGCAGAAAATACTGTTGTAAACTGAAACATCGTAATGTTAATACTCTGGACAGATTACCAATGTGATATTTTAAATAGAGAAATAGAAAATATAGGTATAGAAAATAAATCTTTGAAAATGTTAGGATTTGGCTCAGTCAATACATGTAATACAGGATAATATTCGGTTTATATAATAAAATGTTGATTTTACAAAGTTTTTAGTGTCTACAATTTAGCTTAAAAATGCATTTATGGCATTATTTAAGTATTTCATTATCAATCTCTGAATTAACTTGATTGATTTTTGGAGGGAAATGAAACAAAGGTCAACAAAATTAAACCAAATAACATGATATGGTAGAGTGAATTGAGAATTTGACCAAATGTTACCTTTCCAATCAGGAAGTACACAAGAGATTCTTTGGGGACGATCTGTTTTAAATGCTCTAGTTCAGTCAAGGCCTCCTAAATAAAACAGACAGGATTAAAACCACAGCGAAAATCTTCAGGGCAATTCTATCTAATACCCCATTCATACAACATGATTTGCATACCTAAGTATATTTTACTCATATGTAAATTTACTCACATGTGCAATTTTTGTCGTATGAACTGATTTGCTCACATGTAAATTCTGCACATTTGAGTAAATTTACACCTGGTCAGGACTAGGTGCAAATTAACTTTTGCATACATGTTGTCGCAAATTATTAGTTCTTGTGAGTAAATTTTGTCATATGAACACGCAGCAAATTTACTTATGTATGTATTTTGTTTTGTTTATTGCATAAATCTACATTTTAAGTGTTGTTTCGGTTGTTTATGCATTGTAAAGTGTATAATATCACTCTGTTAACATGGCGGCTGGAAAGCAAAAGAGAACAAGAGGCCCATGGGCCACATCGCTCACCTGAGCACTAAGGGTAGGAAAAAGTAGAAAATGGCTTTTTATTGTAAAGTTTAAATCCAAAAGTAGTCCCATGACCAATCATGGACTTGCTATTTTTTAGAAAATGATTTTTAAAGAATTTTCATATATATATCTTTAAAAACTTTGGTCGGCCATTTTGGCCCCACCCTACCCCCGGGGGTCATGATTTGAACAAATTTGAATCTACACTACTTGAGCATGCTTCCATATAAATATGATGAATTATGGCTTTGTCATTCTTGAGAAGAAGATTTTTAAAGAATTTTCCTTTATATTTCTATGTAAAAGTTTGGTCGGCCATTTTGGCCCAGCCCTACCCCCGGGGGTCATGATTTGAACAAATTTGAATCTACACTACCTGAGCATGCTTCCATATAAATATGATAAATTATGGCTTTGTCATTCTTGAGAAGAAGTATTTATAGAATTTTCCTATATATTTCTATGTAAAACTTTGGTTGGCCATTTTGGCCCCGCCCTACCCCCGGGGGTCATGATTTGAACAAACTTGAATCTACACTACCTGAGCATGCTTCCATATAAATATGATGAATTATGGCTTTGTCATTCTTGGGAAGAAGATGTTTAAAGAATTTTCCTATATATTTCTATGTAAAAATTTGGTCGGCCATTTTGGCCCCGCCCTACCCCTGGGGGTCATGATTTGAACAAATTTGAATCTACACTACCTGAGGATGTTTCCCCATGAGTTTTATCTTTCCTGGCACAGTGGTTCTTGAGAAGAAGATTTTTAAAACATGCCACCAAATTTTCATTAATTCCCAATTATCTCCCCTTGAATGAGGGCGTGGCCCTTCATTTGAACAAACTTGAATCCCCTTCACCCAAGGATACTTTGTGGCAAGTTTGGTTGAAATTGGCCCAGCGGTTCTTGAGAAGAAGTCGAAAATGTGAAAAGTTTACAGACAGACAGACGGACAGACGGACGCCGGACAAAATGTGATCAGAAAAGCTCACTTGAGCCTTCGGCTCAGGTGAGCTAAAAACACTGGATTTTTTTTATGGCCATCTTTGCTGTACATGTACTTCAAGGACAGCTGAATGTAAAAATTTAGAATTTTGATAAGGGTACTGCTCTAAAGACTTTAAAGGATACGCCGGGTTGTACTAGCAAAGATCTTTCAACAAATGGCTTTTTCAACTCTGAAAACAAGGGTCATCACTATATCTCTAGTCCCCCCTGAGATAAATTTGAATTTGCAAAAACGTGCGCATCTTGCACCCTTTCTGGCAACCGCTAAAATATAGCTGTGGTCGCGCAAACATTTGTCCTGCAGGATCAATCAGTAGTCCCCTTACTATTCAAGTACAGTACTGAGTAGTCTTCAAGGGAATGCTCCGGAGCTGTGATAGGTATAGACATTGCATCAATCGTGCGGGCCCCATTACAGAGCAGGTAGGTTAAGGTTACAACCAAATATTCTACTTGCCTATATGATATGACGTCATAGTAAGCTATATGACGTAAAGTTTAGAGATAACAATTTCTTATAATCGATATCTAAGATTGATTTGAGGTCGTAAAAATTAATCAAAATATGCAGAGGCATAATATAAACGGAATTTTGTCGTTTCTGGGTCTCTGTAGTTATCACAGGGGTTAAATACCAAACCCGTGACGTCATAACTATTTATCATGCAGAAGCAGAGTGAAAGTGTAACGTAACGAGAATTCATGTAAACAAACACAAGAAATCGGAGTTTAAAAGCATTTAGAATGAATATCATGTGTGATTCATGTGGGAATAAAGCTTATGAATAAGGTATGGTAATATACTTCTACAATTTCTTCGTAAAATTAAAGCAGGGAGGGTGTTTACTTGCCGATCAGCCTTTCCTTTGTCGTTCGTAACGAATAAGATGCAAAAGTTCAACACTACGCCGCACACTTTGAAACTTAATTTTTGTTTCTATCTAAAGTTCTTATTCTATTGTTTTTGGAAAGTGCTGCTAGAATCCTATGGTTTACGGGAATTAATGCATTTTTTACGATGTTATGAACAAAATGTAAAAATTTTGGGAAGGTTTCGTCCGAAAGTGTTGAATAATTATTTCTGTGATAGGACAGTACGATTGTAGCAGCACTTTTCATGGTACAGAGATGTTTTTACATAACTATGACTACAAATTAAAATTAATTATCCCCGGGGTAGTGTTAAACTTTTCACTTTTTTATTAAGGCATATTTTCTAATTATAGACGTCACGTGGTGACGTCGTGGTGAAGTGCTTCATGTAGTATAAGTCCCATTGAAGTTTATAAAATGCATAATTATAACAAAAGTTTTATCCTTGACTTTTCCGATTTATTTTTGTTACATAATTATAAAAAAGTGTTAATTCGCCGAGTTCTGGTCCATGTGCTGCCTTAACATACCCGCGAGGTTGACTTTCTTCTATCTTTCTTTGATTTAAAACCAAGGCAAGCGCTACTGACATATAAATTGATGTTACAGGAATTTCAACAACACTGTTCAAAATAAGCATCTTGAGTTATTCCACGATTCATGGGGATTCGTATTTATTTCCAATTCACATATTTGTTTTGTTTTAGTTTTTTTTAATCGATTGCTCATTTTATTCTCTTGGAAAATATATGTAATATTCAAGCAGATACTTCATAATGAACTCGCAAACTTGATGTACTGTAGATTTCCAAACACCAAAAAGATTTCCAGTCGTCCTTTATTGTGCAAAATGTATGCAAAAGTTAATTTGTAGTCAGTAGTCAGCCATCTTTTTGCTTAACACCCAACGGCTCTATAGTCTTAAGGACCGAGACCAAAGCATTATCCAACTTTAAACAATGATTTTAATCAATTTTTCTTTTTTCGTACATGTAAACTTTTCTAGGATTTCCCTCAGTTTCTTTGAGAAACATTCAAAAGTTAAGTCTTCTACCGAAATAGTAAGAAAATAACCTTTTTCTATAAAAATCCACAATTTTGAATCTGTGGATCTCCTTATTTTATATGAAAATACAAGGATTCTTATTTATTTGCATTAAATAAATCTCGTCTGAACGCATAGCAAATTAACTTTTACTTACGTGTGTATATTTACTCATATGTAAATTTGCACACATAAGCAAATTTTCGTTGTATGAATGGGGTATTACATACATGTAATAATAGAAGATAAACTGTATCCATGGTTTTTTTGGCAATATACCTGTACCTTATGTTTATCACTGGAGAATAGGATTGAAGCTCTGTGGAATCTACATAGGGGATTCTTAGGTTCTATAGAGATAGCGTTGTTCAGTGTTATCAATGCCTTTTCTGATTTCTGCTGTGCATGTTGAACCTGCAAATTTTGTGACATTTTGGTCAAATTCAATAAGTAAATTTCTACAGGTGCATACATAATCAGTCCAAACTTTAAGATAAAACTCTCCTGGATACTGTGATGGACTTACCACTCCTATATGACACAGCAGGGCTGGACTTTTTGGGTTAATACTCAGAGCCTTTCTAAAGTGAACCTCGGCCAGACTAAATTTCTCCTGCTTCTGGTAAATCATCCCCACACCATACCTGTAGATCAGAAACACAAGTATACATACCATACATGTAAATTACCATGTTTTGGTGGTGAGTTGGTATTTATAAAATAAGTGCTTACCATGCGTTATAATGCCTGGGATCTACCCGAATAGCGTTCCTAAAACATGACATAGCTTTGTCCAACTCCTCAGTAAAAACATACTCATGACCTAGAAGTGTGTACGCATAAGCAAACCCACTGTCAATCTGAAAATAAGAATTATATTTTAAAACTGATTAAACTAACAAAACACAATCCCTTAATCAAAGAAATCCCTGTGGGTGAAGTGTGCATGAAACTTGACCAAAACGGAAATATACTCCATAAAAGTACTATTATACATGTATATGGATAGATACAAGTGAACAATGAAAGTGATGCAGTTGCATCAGAAGATTGATTACCATATGTAAACTATAAATTAGGGTTTTTAAATTCTATTTTCTTTACCTGTATGGCTCGTTGGAAAAATTTGATTGCAGTGTCATGTTCTTTTTGTAAACTAAAACAGTTTCCAGTTACACACCAGGCCTGGAACATATTTAAACATCAAAATTTATAATTAAAACTAATCTACTAATTTACTATATTTAAACATCAAAATTTATAATTAAAACTACCGTAATTTTGGGGTTATAGGTCGATGGGGTATATAAGTCGAAAGGCTCATTTTCAGCCTTAATTTTTGAAAAATCCTAAGATAGGACGAACTTACTATATAGGACGAGGCTTTGTTTCCCGTTTTCTAAAGATGCTTACGCAGATACAACGTATCAGAACAGGTAAACCCCTTGAATTACCGGGGTTATTCCGTGACATAAACGTATCAAGAAATTAAACAGGTATTTTAATGAGTACAGAATTTAAATAAAGTTTTTTTTTAAAAAAGTAGTTAAAACTTCTTTGAATTGTGTTACTACTTATTTTTTTCCAACTTGCCTGTTCAATGCCTCCGTAGTTTCACACCGTTGTTAAATCAAAGGCATAAATAACACGTAAATACATTATTATTTTACAGCTATAATATTCGGGAAATACCCGAGACCAAAGAATAGTAATTCCGATTTCAGAACAACTTGGACACATTCCTGTTAACTTTATTCAGACATTATTTACCGGTGGACGACAATTACTTCGATGTCCGCCATTTTTATTTTTCTTTTCTAGGGATTCGCTAAAACACGCAAATGACCATTGAATGTATATATCAAGCAACAGTAAAGAATTGAAATCATATTAACACTCTAATAAGTTTAATTTATAAATTTAATTGAGAGTACATTCACAATTTGACTGTCAACATGAATTTCACGGCTTTGTTTGTTCAATGATGTGTAACACTAATACCCTATAACGGCATGTGGGTTTGTTATAATCATGCCCC